CGAATTTTATTAATATGCATGTCACGCAAATTCACGATGTAGTTGACGAGTTCATAGAGAAATACGAGGATTGAAAGATCCTAAAACCTTGGAATTGCCAAGTGACTTTATGAACGAAATATATAAGTTCAGCTTAGAATGTAAGTATGTGTGTGAATGTATGTATGTATGCAAGTAAATCGCGATATTTATGCCGCTAATATTTTATAATCCTTTAAATAAGGCATCGAAAAAAGATTCAAATTTAACGTTGTTGGGTTTATGAGAAACTAAATGAATTTTAGAAATAAAATATATTATTTTATTTTTACCTTATTTTTGTATTTTTGTATCATGATTTATAATCAGCTATTAATTTAACAGCGATGTGTCTAATTGCGTTGGATTGTCGAATGGGGTGCTTAGGGTCTAATCTTAGCATGAACTCAGAGTCGCAAATAATGATTAATTGCGTACAAGAATCATTTGAACTCATGTATCGATTGGAAAATCAGCCATCTCTATGGAAAGTGTACAATACAAAAGATCTTAAGAAGTTGTTCCATATATTTGATACAATTAACGAGTAAATATTGAAATTTTTATAGTTATGTATAGTTATATTATGTCAGAAAATAATATATTATTTTAATATATTATTTTAATAAAGTAATAATATACAATTAATATATAATTATCAATATATAATTATAATAATATATTCTAAAAATACTCACGAATATGTAAATTTGTCATTTGTCCCAATTCTTCATATATTTTTCTAATATCTAAATGATTATGAAAAACATAAGCCTGTAAAATTAAAGATGTAAAATTAAAAGATTATTTGAGAATTATAAGTGGTTTTCAATTATAAGTGGAACAAAAATTATCATATTTTTATTTTTGCATTTTTTATATGCATTTTTTATAATTTATCGTACATATCGAAAATAATAAATTTTAAAATATGATTTATTTGTCATGATAAACATTTTTATAGTATACACATACACATATATTTTCATTTAAGTAAAGAAATTATTCTTTTAGCATTTCTACGAAACATATCGAATACGCTAAGATGAAACTTTCGAAGACAACAGACATTACGAATCTGGAAAAGCGTAGTGTACTGGAGAAACTCTTATGTATTGATAAACAGATAGCCCATACAATAGCATTGGATCTTATAGCTAGCACAGATACGGTAAACACGAAGATTTTCATTCCAACATCTATGAATAATAAAAACAATCTTAATAGTTTGCATTATTAATCATTTATAAACAAAATTATTTTTTCTCGGCATATAAGAGTAATCAATAATAATATAGTCCATAATAACAATAATAAAAGATCAAAATTTTTTTTCAGCAATTTGAGTAATGTGTAGACAAGATATAATATATTCTATTTTTATATTTACATTAGATTATGTAGAATTAAAAAAACTGGTAACAGGATTAATATAATTAAGATTAAATCTTTTACAGACTAGTAATGCGGCTGGCGCTTTACTATATCACATCGCAAACAATATGGAAAAACAAGAAAAATTGCGAAAAGAAGTAATGTCAGTGTTACCCGACAAAACAACGCCTGTTACAGTTGACATCCTGAGTCGTATACCATATGTCAAAGCTTGCATTAAAGAATCTATGCGATTGTTTCCTATTGCTAGTGGTGTTTCAAGAACTATGCAAAGAGATGTTTGCATAGGAGGATACATTATACCGAAAGGAGTACGTATCGCTTTTCAACATATTTCTAAATTACAGAATTCAAGATTTACTAATATTTGATATCAACATATAATTAAAGATTATGTCTAAATATTTTTTATTCAAATATATATAAAATTAAAATATTAAAAAATGTTCAATGAAAAAATTCAATAAGGTCTATCTAAATAATATGATGAGAATAAATTTACAAACAATAAGCTTTATTTATAAATTGTTTAAAGAATTTTAAACGGATTTTTTTGTCAAAATTTAATTAAATAAATTAATGCTATCTTTTATTATTATAATTTTTTACAACATAAATCTTAAAAATTAACTTTAGATTAAAATTTAAAATGCATTTTAAACAAAATGAAATCTGAATGCTTTCCACAAACAAAAAAAAAAACGTAGATAATCATTGTTGCGTAATTGACTTCAGAAAATTTTTGCTGAAAGAATGTTTTATTAATTATGAGTCAATCCATTCCAAATATTATAATTATGAATTTTCTCTTTTTTATTTGTTATTACTTCTATTTGTCAATAGTTTAAAACTATTCAATATCTTATTTTTATTTGCTTTCTATTAAAAATAGCGGGCATCTGAATAAATTTTTTATTTACTCAAATGCAAATATCTCAGAATCAAGAAGTGTGCTGAAATAAAAAACTATTGTTAATTGTTTTACATTTTATTTTTTTGTTACATATATATTTAAGCTACATTTTTAATTTAATGTATTAATTATCTAATTTGACTTTATAAAAAAAAATGGCTGAAATTATACTAAATATTTGTAAAATTATGACTTTTTAATGAGATATTTTTCAACTTAATTCAATTTCAACTTAAAATTATTTAATTTTGTGCGAATCTTAAACTTGACATTTTTACTAGCAATTTAATACTTATATAATATATAATACTTATAATCCTTAAATAGAAATATAGAGCCGATTTTAATTTGGGAAATTTCGAGGAAGAAACAGAATAGAGGGATCCGCGTAGAAAAATCTATATGGAACATATTACGGATCAGATGCAGGAGATAGAGGCTGTAGAAAATAGACCTATCATAAATAGAAACAGTGCAACTCACAATTGTACACTATGACATTTACATAAAGTGCTTACGTGAAACTTCAAGACCATTTAACGTGTTCCGCTCCTGCCTATCTCTCGTATATACTCAGTCCGTAATATGTAAGCCATTTATTTTTGTAACTCAAACGAAACTTTATATCACGTATTTTAAATTTATACATATAAATTCAAAAAAATAAAGAAATAAGATTATTAGACGATTTTAAGATCTATCGAGTATTTTGTCCATTATTATTATTATTCATTATAAATGAAATTTTTTGTCAGTTATGAATAATATCTCAATGATCTCTTTCTTTGTATCATTAGACAAATGTTACAGCTTGTCACTCAGTACTTTCGATGAATCCTATATATTTTCCACGACCACAAGAATTTATACCCGAAAGATGGTTGCGAGATACTCCCGAATATTCATTATACAAAAAGACGCATCCCTTTGTGTACATGCCTTTTGGTTACGGTGTTCGTATGTGTATTGGACAAAAATTTGCCGAGATGGAGCTCCAGACATTACTCTTAAAAGTTTGTAAACTTTCATGATTTTATCATATTATGAAATATCGTAATAATTACAAATATTCAAAAAACAATCAGTTTGCCAAATTTGTGTTGATACCATCTCTACCGTCGTAAAAAATTCGAAATTACAAACCTGTATCCTGTTTCATCCTTATATGCATAACAATTTAGTAAATTCAAACAAATATAATTATTTCGATTTTTTCCCGATTTTTCTTTCATTTCTCTTCACCTTAATTTTTTATTTATGTTTTATGAAATATTTATTTTATAACATTTGTCTTAAAAATACGCATTTAATTTCTTAACGTAGATATTTTTTATACAGAATTAGTCACTTTTCCAATAGAAAACAATTAATAAAGAGTTGCCAAAAATATTTATAGGTAAACTATTAATTTGCGAGAGAACTCTCATGTACAACTGTAAAAAAAAAACATTTTGTAATCACATTCAAATTATCTTTGCGATAAAAGAAAATAATATATAAAAATATGTTTGTTTTTATATATAGATGATACGCAATTTTCGGATTGAATGGCATCATGGACCGCTCAAGTACAAGAGCCAAATTGTAAATACAGTGTCATCACCGTTGCTATTCAAGCTCATTGATTTATAGATTATTTAAAATTTTTTTATAAAGCAATTATTGTTTCTGTTTTGCGAAGAATTTCATAAAATCTTGTATTATACGTAACATATTTAAGTGTTAATAATATAAAATGACTTATTATTTGACATTGATAACACTTATTATACACTTTTTATACACACTGACGATTATTTTATATCGAATGTTTTTAAATATTTTTCAAAATATTTTTTACAATGATAAAATAAATAAAACAGATAAAAGAAATGAATTTCAAATTTTGTATTAACATCGATGAAATTTTAATTTTGAGAATAAATATTTTTATGAGAAATAAATATTTTTATGGAAAAATTATGATTATTTAACTGTATTTATTATAAAATTACGATTATTTAAGCTGATTTCTGACAGTTTAATCTGTTTGAGAATAAATATTTTTATGAGAAATAAATATTTTTATGGAAAAATTATGATTATTTAACTGTATTTATTATAAAATTACAATTATTTAAGCTGATTTCTGACAGTTTAATCTGTTTGATCAGTTTGATGTTTATACATATATTGCGCTGATTCTCAATTGCTCTATTTTATTAATTGCATTTGTATTGAGAACCTTTTCATTAATTGTTTAAACTAATTATATAGGCTAAATTATATATAGTTGTAAACAAATTTATGTTGTTGACATTCTTGATTTTTCGCCTCTCATTAGTCTGAAACAAAAAATTGAAAAAGATTTATATTTAGTATGAATATAGCTATAATATGAATTACAGAGAAAAAAATATTAAAAATTTCCAAAATAACAGCGTTTGAAAAAAATGCAAAATTTCACGAAAGAATACGCTTTTTGTTAATGATAAAAAAGTTTTACATATATCATATTGGTTGTATTTCATGCGATAATAAAACATTCATTTTATATGTTTGTCAAGTTTGATAAAGATTATTTCATTAAAAGCAAAAATTTTTAAGTTTAATTTTTCCAATTAGAAAATGAAAATGTGATTTCGAGAAAAAGATTTTAAAATTTAACTTTTATTTTTCGTATATATAAAAGTATTATTTTCTTACCTATACTTAATTATATTCTTGGAGATCAGACAATAAATCCTCCACAAATTCAAAAAATTCCTCTTGGACCACTCTTACTTTTTACCTAATGCTTGTTGACTCTTTTGTGATGTTTCGAAATGCCTGTGCTCTGCATTTTCTTTTATTTCCTTGAGTGTATCTTTCCACTAAATTCGGTGCAAGAAACTTTTTACATATAACTTCTTCGTCTCTGACGTCACATAACTCACGCCGCAAGAGAATCGGGCCTTAAGAGCAAGATACGACAAAAGTACTTTTACTGTATTCTTCAGTGTAATAAATACGCACGGAGATTTTACAGATATTAAGTATTTTAAATAATATTAGTGTAAAATAACAAAATAATTAAAGTGTTTAATTACAAATTAGAATGAATAATCAATGATTAAACTAAAAAAAAAATTCTTGAAGATCAATAACTTTTGTAAATATTGTTATGTTTTGATAGATATTAAAATATATTGAATATAATGCTTCTGTTAGTTCATTACCATCCTATATGAGTTAATAATATCAGAAGTAAAAAAACGATGAAAATTCTTACAAACTATGTTATAATGATATTCTTCAATAAAATTCTTATTCTTCAATAAACATTTGTTATAGAACAGATTTGTAAAATGTCGAAATTTCCTTTTTATTTTCGAAATAACCGATGTATCTAGATATAAATTGTATCTAATCAAGAACAAAGCTCCAGTTTACACTATTTTAGACGTGATTTATTGATCAGAATGAAGAAAAAAAAAAAAA